GGCATCACCTCATCTCGTGGAGTCACGAGGCGGCCCAACGAAGTACTGACGGTGGGGGTCATAATAATCTGGCCACTCAGTGTATAAGTCCTGTATTAGGGATGTTAAGATACCAAGTACCATACTCGATACTCGAAGTACAGATACTTTTCGGGCTCCAGGACTAGACTAGAGAAAAATTCAAAAGTTAGGAGGCAGCTGTCATGTGTAAGGAGCACACGGAGCTCCTGGGATTTGTACATCCATGTATTAATGTATGATTTTGTTTTTATAAACATATATAAAGTGATGCACAGATACCATTTTTGCAAGTACAAGTCCTGATACGTTCATATTTATTGTCATGTGACAGTTTTTCTAAACACAATACAGACTAATGATTTCAGGACAGTGGTGGAGAGCCAGAGCCAGGTGCCAGCTGCAACCGCTGCAACCCGGGTAGTTCTCATGAAAATGCCAAGTATCGGCACGGGTGTCTGGACTGGTATCTGAACATCCCTATCCTGTATAATAATAATATAATAATAACACGGGTCTGGCCATTTAATTTTTTTCCTTGATTACAAGATGGAGGAAAAACCTGGACGGACACGAATGTCACAATGGTGACATCCATTCTGATCAGCAGGTGATCCGTGCATGGATCCCCTCCTGATCGGTCCACGTGAAAGGGGCCTTATGAGTTACACGAGTTGAAGATTACACAGGGATATGGACTCCCGTGTGGCGGCGCTTATTGGCCCGATAATGCTACGTAATTATTGGGGTAATCTTGCGATTGGCGTACATCTGCGCCAATCTTGCGATTGGCGTACGTCTGCGGATAACACACTTCCTGTCCCATCATGTCTACCTTTGTTTTTTTCTCCCCGTATGTATTGGGGCCGCCACGGTGGATTTCACACAATGTAGAACAAATAGAAAGCACATCGGTGTCACCTGATATCTGCAGTAAAACTTTATTAAACAAATGTTCATTGTCTTCTTACACTATAGAACACGGCACCGGCCTTGTGGGACATCTAACTAACTTTATTAAAAAATGTTTAGCGTATATAAAATGCTTGGAAAAAGAACCTGTAATATAAAATTCATCCAAGGTGAGGCTCCCTCAATCCAGCTGGATACAGGTAACGCGTTTAGCAATACGTAGCCACAGCCCCAACCGTGCATCAAGGCTTACGCGTTTCAAGGGCACGGTCTCTTCCTAGAGATACCTGACTTGCATAAAGTATGCCTTTTAAAATCTCTGTTTTAAAAGCCAACTCCAGGGAAATGAAAAGCTTTCCTGTGTAGCGGAGCTGCCCCTGCACTGCAAAGGATAACGGCTCATTTATGCCTAGGGGACAGGAGAAAGATATTTTACTTACCTTATCCCCACTCCCACTGGATCCCTCCAGTCTCTCAACCTAGCCATACATGATGTGTGCGTTTCGTTTCGGCCTGTTCTTCAAGCAGAGGCGTAACTAGAAACCCCAGGGCCCCGGTGCAAGAAACCATTGAGCCCCCCCACCCCC